TCGTTTGTTGAGTTCCACAGAGAAGTCAGGGAAGATCAAAATCTTGGATTCCTTACAGTACAACTCTCCATGCTCCCGTGACAAAGTAAGATTTCCTCCCTCGTTTGGAAGCGAAGAAAGCATACAATCATGGGTCTCGGAGGTGCTCCGGAATGCGGTTTCGGTGCGAGGGACCAGTGTGCACGTTCAATCTCTGGCGTCTGAGATAGTTTATCTCCGGAAAGTTCAGTGAAGAATGATACCATGAAATGAGAGGGCCTAGACGTTTCCACATTCTCTGGGATACCCAATATACGGAGATTATTCCACCTCGAACGGTTTTCCAGATCATCTGCCTTAAACTCAGACCTCAGCGAAGCAATTTCCTCATGAATTGTTGTGGTAAGCATTTCTTATTCAGAGAAAACGAACGTGCGCACAAAAACATGTGCGTATGCCTCTCTTCCAGATGTGACATTTATAAATCGCAAATGATCTTGAAATTGTGCGCAGCTGACTGGCGTCAGATCTCCGCCTTGTAAACGCCCCCTAATTAATATCATTACCATATAAAAGAGCACATGCCAATATCTGAATTTCTATGCTTGAGAATGACGAGCACAAAGAAAAGAAGAAAAGTTTACTGAGTCTGAAATTGAGGTCCTGCTGGCGGAGGTAGAGGTTCGTGCAGGGACGCTTTTTATTTAATAATTTGTAATTATTCTGTGTACAAACTGTTATATTTTTTTCAATTGACTATTATCAAAATTACTACTTCTAGAAACAACAGAAATAATAATAATAGTATTTATAAAACAATTAGGTTTCCAAATGTAAGAATAAACCACGAATTCAAGTAAAATTTTCAGTCATCTTATAAAAAGTGAGCCATCCTACTTTTAAAATCACTTGCTATGACAACTAATAAAAAGTTTAATATTACGAAATTCTTGCAAAACTTTAAAAAACTATTGAAAGAAAAATTGGACTGATGTCTCTATTCATTTTCACAGAAGCAAAGCAGCAGATGATATAAATAAAAACAGTTAACAATGTTATTGAATAGAA